TATATATATATTAATATAATAATAATATATATATGTACATACATACATACACACACACACACACACACACATATATATATATACATATATATATCAATAATATTGTATCATCATGTATCATAATATATAAAATTATATAATAGTATATAATAATAATAATAATAGCAATAATAATAATAATAATAATAATAATAATCATAATATTATGTAAATATATATAATAATATATAACAATATGTAACGATATAATATCATATAAGAATACATATTAATATATAATAATATATAAAAATATGGAATCATGTATATATATATATATTATATATATACGCAAACATATACATATACCATTGAACGTGTCAAGAGATCGAAAGCATTTATTAACTCACCAGGATCCGGCTGGGCTGGATTTTTGGGCTCGGACGGCACATCAAAGCTAGCGTCATCCAATTCGACTACCATATCGCCTTCGTACGGTTTATTCAGAAAATCGGTCAGACCCAGGTCGTCAGGCACTGGAGAGAATAGACTATGTGAATACGGTGATGATGATCTAACCGTTGTTCATGCACATTGTAATCAAGGAAATAAATGAGGAGTACATACCAGCCCCACTCTTGACCATTTCGGATATAATATCCGCCAAGTCCGTCTTCATTAAATCACAGGTACACGGATAGGAACACCCGCAAACACATCGTGACAAGTCGGCCCCGGGTGCAGCACATTTGTCACCCTCCTGGACAGCTTGTTCGCTGCCATCTTCATTGTCCCCCATGTTGCTTAGGAGACGTGTTTGACAAGAACGGCTCTATGAACACAGTCGTAAACTGATCTTTAAATCGGTTCAGTTCACCAGTCCGGCGCTGTTAGCTTGAAAACTATTGTATAATCTGAGTGCTAGATTTCTTATGTATATGCCATGAACAGGCATGAAAATTCTACCATTTTTTAAATTTTATGTAATGTACTTTGGAGTATGGGCTATGGAGTGGGCCATGTTTGAGATCTTTTTTACATGATGACTCCCCGAGTTCCCTGTGAGTGACTGAAGTCCTTGACTCCTGACTCCTGAGATACAATAATGGAAACCTCAATCCGTTAGCTGGATCCAAATTTAACCTGAACACTAACTAAACGTTTAAAATGTTTATACGGGTCAATAGAGTTAAAAATAGTCCTATGTACTGTCCGAATTAAGCGGATACCGAAGGGAAACAATCTGGAAGCTCAGAACCTCTGGGGAAAAACATGCACCCATAGTGGCAACTATAGGGCCAACCGATATAAACGTATCTGAATTTATAGTATATACGTTTTTACAAAAATAGAATTGACAGTGTATCACTGTAACTGTGCTTCACTGCTTGTTCTTACGGTTTTGCCTCTCTGACACCGCTGCTGAGGGAAAAACCCCATCGACGTGACGGTCATCAAAATCACGAGTACATCATCCTTATTGTACATAAATATGTATAAAGTTATGAACAAATAAAAATATGTAGATGTAAATATGTGCATATTTTAATATTTTATTGTAAGATATATATCTAGTCTAATAAGAATACTAATACGAGTCTGTTATAGTTCTTCCGGCAGCAATGGAGGTTGAATCGTTTACAATATTTCCGCCTGATGCAGATGGGCAAGGTAATGTGATAGTACACTGCTTCTTTTCCATACTTCAGTGAGAAAATACATGATCCATGAGGTAAATATTTGGGTATCTCGCGACAGCTTGTATCCTAAAGTGGTATAAACTTTACCGCACGCCCAAAGATATCTGATATGGTTGACGCTTGCATTGCGGTGTACTGAACCAGGCTATAACCCTGCCACAAGAGGTGAACAACGACAGATCAGAGTAGCGAAGCCGCGTCATTCACTGCATTAAGAGGTGGAGTACATTTGTCTAGTGTTCTGGCGATTAGCAAACTAATTATGGCACCTCTCGCATTCATCTCAGATCACCAGAGTGAGAATGCTAGGGAGATAGGAGGCCAGGCGGTCTGGACACTGTCGTCGTGTAAGCAGGGCTTCGCTATGGACCAGCTGAGAGACGGCAATCTAGACACATATTGGCAGTATGTGGATCTCATTTGATTCCGAGCTGTTGAGACACACCGTGCTTTTCGATTTGACCTGTGCATATATACATGCTAGATTTGGGAGATGTCAAATGTAAGGGTATCGTCTTGCTTTTTTTGAAACCATTTGGTGTATGCCCTTCTTTCTTGTTGCTTATGAGTATTTTCTTGAAAGTACGTCTATATGACAGCCAGGTGCAACTATTGACAAAATTGCTGCTTCTGATGGTTCCCTGATGGTTCCCATTTATTCTTATTTGGTGACTATTTTCAGACATTTGCTAAAAGGGTAGCACGGATCATAAGTACATCTCAGTGCTAATATCTGCTTCCACAATCGGACCTGTCTCTAGCTCTGTGTGTGTTTCTGGGATTTAATGAATCAGTTATTGCCATAGACATGAACTATGGATGCGCGATTCTACCATCTCCACGATGGTTTTATAATCGAGTTCCGAGTTCAGATACGCAACAATTTGTGTTAGTATTATGCTCAGTTCATTTGTTAACGGGCACAGAGGAGAGCAATATAGACGCTACTCAGCAGGCACTTGGAATACTTAATTATGCCAATATGGTTGAGTATAGAGCTACATTCAGTGATCTTGGTACTTTGTAAATAACAACAACGATGTCAGATATGAGAGGCACGGAAGTAACTATGCACTACTCGGCGGCGTGTGTTCTAAACGAAGGCCTTATCGAACTTCCAAGGCGTAGACACCACTATACCCTCACATGGCATTCATACTAAGTATCATTGGAAGTGTGGACATAATAATCAAATCCGACTGCTATGCGATGTGTTGTAGGTCTGACGGACTACAGCCACATTCCATCAGTGTGCAATTTCCGAAACGACAGACGGTTTTGGTATGAGCAGTTAGTCCTTTTTCGCTTTGAAATCGGTATAGTTTTACGTGGTTGCTCTTTCTTCCCTATTATTGAGATCTGCAGAACTATAAGCAAGCTGTCTATCACGTTTGTGCCGAAATACACTCAATTAGTCATATTCTTTTCATAGGAGGTTTGCTTTTATGTGGACTATTTGCAAGATGAAAGCTATACACCCCAGAAAATATCAGTAAAAGCTGGCTCGCACTATCATGATCTTCGGGTATGCACCGGCGCGTTGCGATTACTAGCAACTGTTTGTTTCTACGTTCAAATTTTGGTGTCTCATTAAGATGATTTTGCGAAACTTGGAAATATTTCTATGGAAAGTTTACTGTAGCTTCTAGCACATAACTGACGAGTTACTTATATCTTTGCAGGAAATCACCCAAATGTCCATGACTGAGCCTTCAGGTTGGGTTTCTGTACCCCTCACAAGAACAGATCAGACAGCCGGTGTGCAGGCCAATCTACTTGAGATCACTATGCTATCCAACCATCAAAATGGAAGAGACACCCATATGAGACAGATAAAGGTCTTTGGCCCTGTAGAGTAAGTTCCGCTTTGGCTTATTTTGCGACGCTATGGCCGATGCTTTTACATTTATGTGCTAAGCTTGAACACGCACATGCGTTATACGATTTGATAGTTTTAAACTGTTCCACATGACACTCACTCTCTGGGTTTGCTTATGCACATCACAGAAGGGGGATATCGGTCATTGAAAAGTTTCAGGATCCGAATCTCGAGACATATTCGAATTTACGATGACGTACTTATTAGTACTCTGTGAGTTTTACTCGAGATTCGCACTGCAGAGAGCTGGCCTCCAAACACGCAGAGCTGACGACGACAGAATGCTTGCTGTTTCATCGAATGCTTGCTGTTTCATCGAATGCTTGCTGTTTCATCGAATCCTTCCTTGCGCCACTTGCTATACAGTGCGTGATCGTAGTGGCATGATTGTGGTATTAGGGAATCGATGCCCATTCTACATTCTATCAGCAAAATATACCACGTAGTGTGTATAACGTCGCTGTGGGTTCGATGGAGGTGTGCGTACGAATTGCAATCGGCGACACTGGGTTCGATAGAAGTATAAATTGGAGAGTACAAAAGGCGACGCTGGGTCGATGGAAATGTGATTAGAAGCCGTGTTCTTACGCGGTCTCATTGGATTTGACCACAATATATGAAGGCGATGTTATTGATACGAGCTGCCAGATGTGACCTTGCCGCTGAATTTGAAAAGAATCACCCTGATGAAAAAGTGGATTCAGTGTGTTCTCTCGTGTACTCCTTTAATTATAAGTACTTTCTATATCATCTATATACGTAGCGCTCTCCTTGAAGTAAGGGCCACCCGGGAAAATAACCCTACTTGGCGCGATTGTGCGGAATAGTGTGCACTTTTAAATCTAATTATTTTCAGTCGTTCCCGGAATTACGTTTCTTTTCAACACTTCTTAGTTGCCTAGTATTTACGATCAAGGGTGCGCGGGAGGGTGATCGTGGCGATGTCCGCCTTAAAGAACCTCCATTGGGCTCAAATAAATACAAAGGTATAGTATACCTAAACTTCTTTTTTCGTCTCGATCTCCTAATCTTAGCTTTTGTGCTAGCCGTGTCTAAATTCTCGTTCAAGTTGGTATCATCATTCTCACTATCGCTCAGCACCTATAGGTATTCCGAATGGGTTCAAATGTTGATTAGAAATTGTGTCGACGTACAATTATCTCGGATTTAAACATAGAAAAATCCAAGTGTACTACACGACACAAGACAAGGGTTGACTAGAGATCTACAACCAATAACGTCTCACTGAACAGTATTTAAATCACCAGATTGCGTTTCCAAAGTACTGACCTTCGATAAAGAACTGATATCAGCGAATATTTTTTTCCCTGTGCTTTCGCTTTTCGCCCCAGCGACACCATCTTCGGGAGCGTTGGGTGGTGTGCTTCCATTTACTTCCACCTGAGGAAAGCGGAATGCGTATGATCCTTGCATAAGACTACGACAGGTTGTAAAACTGATAAAAAGGAACGCAAACGGGCTATCGGAATAAGCAGATCGCATAATCCACTAACCTTGGGCAATGATTTAAGGCTTGGCATGTATTGTGTCGGTGATTGGGACATCCTTGATTTGCTTGTCGTTCGTTTTAGTAGATCCTCTAACGAGGCGGACTCCAACTTCCCACCGGCTCCTTCGTTGCTACCTACGCTGATTGATCTTCCCATCACAGTTGCAGATTTTCCAGTTCCGTAGTCGTCTTCACTTTGGAGACTTACATCACTCGTGCCTCCATCAGTATCGTCAGTGACCTTATGACTTCGGCCAAATTGACCAGAACGTATCATGTCCTCGCAAACTACTGTTTCCCAGAGCTCTTGCATGCATTTCCAATATTTCCTGTGAACTCTGACAACCTAATAAATAGAAAAAGCACGATACATTGAGCTTAAGATGCAATTTTGCGGGATACACATACTCAAGAGAATAGGTGATCACGAATGATCAAACACGATTTACCTCATTGAGCGACTTGATAGCGTTATATTGTGGAACGTTCGGCTTAGTTATCAAAGCTAGACTATGGGATCTAGATGACGGTGTGCTCATAGGGGGAGGTTTCTCGCCCAGCAACACTTTCATACATGCTGTTGCACACTCTGATAGAGCACTCAGCCTATAACCGCCCTCCAGGGAAAGGAGCACCCTGCCATCCATGAAATCCATCAGCGTCTATAGTAAAGGAATAAAAAACGGAATGAATGATCTCAAGTATAAATATCTGTGCAGGTGATATGCAAGACATGGAGCCATATGCCGAGACAGTGAGAGAATAAACACAAAGCAATTGGACACGAATGGGGACATCGGCGCTACCTTCGTCATGTGTGCGAAGCCGCTGGCAGCTACTTTGCAATTCCCGATATGGTCACCATCGGCGGCGTCAAATCCTGCACTGATGACAATTACTTCGGGTGCAAATTCTTTGGCTATTGGAAGTATAATATGCAGAAACGCAGCCATGTATTCGGTGTTACCCGGAGGGCTATCATCACAATCATTCCACGCTATGTTCACTGTCATTCCCTGCGCATCACCGAGCCCAACTTCCTCTGTCGAACCCGTACCTGGATAGAATTCACCGTGGTCATACCTACAACCAAATAACAGATATGATTGCGTAAAAATACCATTCATTCCTCGTTGAAAGAGGCAGAGAGAAATCGGTGTGTGGACTGAGATGAAACTGGGAAACACTCGTGAATATATAAATCGAGAGCCATCGAACAAATACATATAACGGCGGTGCTCAATACCTGTGCAGGGAGAGGTATAGTACGTTAGGGTCATCCTTGAATACGTCCTGCGTACCATTGCCGTGATGAACATCCCAATCTACGATCATGACTTTGGCGACATTGAATTCCTTCCTCGCCGCTCGTACCGCGATACCGACATTATTGAAAAAGCAAAAGCCCCCTGCTGCATCTCTCTCTGCATGGTGACCGGGTGGCCTGATGATAGCAAAACCATTTTTCAGCTTACCCCTTATGGTAGATCTCGCCAACTCGACCAATGATCCAGCACTAAGCCGAGCTGCACGCGATGTGTCTTCAACGTTAAAGACTGTGTCCGTAGCAATTCCTGGGCCTCCGCAATGCATCTTCTCTATGTTTGGGGGCTCCTTGCCATGTCCATCAACAGCAGCTCCTCCGTAATTATATACATGTGCATTTGCGTGAACTGCCAATAGTTCTTCTTTTGTTGCTTCTCTTCCTCGTACTGGTACCACTCGTTCTAGTAGTTTCTCATCATCGAACGCCTTCAAGATGCTTGCTATCCTATCCGGTCTCTCTGGATGTGCTTCGTCCGGTCGAGAGCATGTACAGGCGTGTGACAAAGTGTCTGTATCGTATGTGATGCCCGTTTTTGTTGAACGCGCATCTCGTTGCTCACTTGCAGCTTTAATAGCATCCCATCTTGCTTCCGAATCCGGTCCCAATGGGCCATACAAAGCATCGGCTGTGCGAGTACGTAGTTGAGATATTTTGACCCATTCATTGTATTCTGTGCCCCAGCCTTCGAAATGAACGAGAACAAATTGAGATGCAAATAAGGAATCTTCGACATCAGTAGTCGTATCGCTTGAACCTGCTGTCGTACGCGACTTCATTTTCAGTACGGTAGCTGGTTTCTTCACGCCCATTTCCGAAGATGATGCTCCTTCCTTCTCAATTGTGCTTTCAACAGATTTGCCAACCTGCTCCATATTCTCTACATAGCGTATTCGAGCTGCATGCTGAAGGTGTATGCGGTGTCCAGATTTTAATGAACTACCATACAAATCGAACCCCATTTTCAATTTCGCATGTCATTTGAATTTGCTCTTAACGCCATTGAGTCTTATCCCAAGAATTAGGACAGGAAACTAACTCTCTGTGGCATTCAAATTTGAATATTGTTACTTACCCAGGTCATGTCAGAAGCGTCGACGGCATCGATTGGACATCCCACATGTAAGTGTTTTCTCTTCAACTTAGTGTGTGCGGACTCAATTTTAGTGTTCATTTCCGCCGCTTGTGTTTCTGCAGAGTTTATCTTCCGCTTCTGTGCAATTTTTATGCATTTACATTAGGTGCATTCGTTGATGAGATAAAGTGCCATCCGAATAGCATGTCAGTTATAGCTCATACAAAATTAATCACACTTCCAAAACAACCGTAAATCTCCCTATGACTCATGAAGTGGCAGCCTGGCAAAAGTCACCGATATACGTGCCTACCTTCCTTTGACTGGTGCTTGAGGTCTGCGATGCAAGAGTCTCAAAGCTCAGCACTGACGTGGTCTCTCCTCTATTCAAAAAAGACCTCTAAAAAATAATTATGAACATTGCAAAGATGCGATTAAAGAATATGAAAATGAGTTGGCTGTCATATTGAGCAAACATAACACTTACAACGTTTCGTCCATGCTTGTTAGCATCACACTAAATGAAATTGCTACCTCACTTCGAGGCGGCGTTGAAAGCTTATAACTAAAGTCTTGGCAACAACAAACTTTCCGTGTAAGTAGACAACCGAAACATCGAAATAAGCCATTGTAAGTCCTCGCGCACAACACTAGGGGCAAAATAAAAAGAACCTTAGCTTTCGGCGGGCTACGCTGTCGGCTGCGAGGTTTTCTTGCTGCTACCAGGCGCGGAGACGTCGTTGGGCTGGGAATTTTCTTTGCTGATGCCTTCTTCTTCGATGTCTGTCGTGACGATCGACGAACGGATTAGTTAGGCAGCAGCCAAGTGAACTATTACCGCGAAACCAAATTTTGAGCATTCAATCAATGAGCACCATAGCAGTTTAGTCCCATCACTGGCATCATGCGGCCTCCTAATTTCACATTCTCGAAATTACACGCTAACAAGCAGCCATACCGTTTTCTTCACCACAGGTGATGACCCTCCTGAAGAGGGATGTACTTGTATAGTGGGCTTCGGGTCATCCTTCTCACTCAATTTGGACGGGCTGATCTTTGGCTGGCGATGTGGCGGAAAAATATATGAGAATGAACACATGCGGTAGAATTCTACAAATATATATGATATGAAGAAGACTAGAATATAAAGGTGGCAAAATGATCTTATTTTGCGACATACCGACTTCAGTACATTCCGTTTTAGCTTTTTGGTTATGGGTACATTCGCGTTCGTTATCGGTTCAGTAGCGACGTCTTCAAATAACGTACCAGCGTCAGGCCACATGATATTGTAATTGGGATTCAAGAGTCGCGAGAGGCCTCCAAGTCCATTATTCTTCGGTGAAGTCTCATTTACTGATGCTCCTAGGCACATGTCAAACGCCACGAAAATAAAATTATGAATGGCTGAGGGTAATCACAAACGTGTAGCGAATTTAACAATATTGTAACACGTACACTAAATACCTTTGTTTTTTCCCTTAGCCGGTGACTTCTTATTGGCTGAGGCCGTCGGCGTCAGCGTTGGACTATTGAAACCCTTCGAGTCACCGCTTTTCATTGCCAAAAGAAAAGCAGCTGCCTGCCCTTGTTCTGAGATGATCGGCTGTTTTGGCAGTAAATCGAATAAACGATTCAGCGTATGAAACTCTGGGTTGTGACTTTTAGACGACCATATTGTATATGTCGAGTGGAATTTACAATTTACTTACTGAAGATTCTGCGAAATCACCATTAGTAGTGCCACGACTCATTAAGATATCACTGGAAGCTGTTCTGTGAAGGTTCGTCTGCTTTGAGGCAATCAGCATTGGTGACTTTGGTGAATTCACTTCGCTGTACTGCTGAGTAGGCAACTCGATCTTGCACACATTCACAGTCGGCGCTCCCAATGGGTGAAATTGTGTTGCTGGAGCACTAACTACCGGTGCCTGACCAACGTCAGCTTGTAAATTCATTTTAAAGCAAGGTGCACCAGCCTGTCTGGCATCGCTAAGTTGACTAGTCTTGGCATCAACGGGAATCCTTCCACTTAAGGCATTATGATCGTGTGATTGCTCTGTGATTGCAAGTTTTCCAAGAACATAGAAATGAAGATATGTATGACAATAGTGAACTGCTGTCATTGACTTTCACCCATCGCTAGTGATTGAACAAGCAAGCCTGCTGGATTCAAAAATTTAAAAATACATACATATATATATATATAGATTTAGCTAACAATATAGATATAAGTATACATATAGACACAAATACACACACACA